CGCACGCACACATGCACGCACACACCTTGCTGTATGAGTGAAGTAATCTTGAACATGACGTTTAATCCCATTCTAATCGTCAGGATTAATTTATTTTCAAGATAGTGTTTGGGGGGCTTTTGTTCTTTCCATTTTTATGGCATGAGAGATTTGAGGTTAGTGTTCCTTCTCCAGAATACGCCATACACATGTGAGGTAGGAGCTTTATCTTCAGAATGGGACCCGTGAAGGTCCGGGGTAAAATAGGTCTTCAGCAACCCATGCTTGCCATAAAAGGCAACTGTGCTTGTCGCAAGAGGCGACTAACGAGATCGGGTGCTCAGACACGCTGACTTGGTTGATGCATGTCATTGTAATATTTTGCAAGTAATCCAAGTTGCGTGGATCGATGCTCATGATATCAATTACTGGATTGTCTGGTCCAGACTCGAATGTTTACAGACCGCCGTCATAAAGCTGGAATACTGCTGAGTGCGGCGTTAAACAACAAACCAAACCAAAAGCAAACATTTTCAGAATGCACATACAGTTTAGGTAGGTGAGGTACAGGCCCTCAGCTTTATAATGCCATGTGACCTGGGCACGACACCTTATCTGTTAAGTAATTTAACGTATCATACTGTGAAACACATTCGTAGTCGACAACTCAGTTATCTGAAATTGATATATTCAAATTTTCCGTATGCGTTAAATAAAACTGATCAGAAGTTTTTTTCCGATACGTGAATCGCAGTAGAACTACGTCTGGTCCAAAGTCTGCCTTAATCTCCGTGGGGCTAAAATGTTGCTCCGTTCTTAGGAAACTAAGGTTCACGAGAGCTGAGAGGTTACAATTCCTGCTGTGTGGTTGCCGCATTCATAGCAACAAGTGTATTTCATCTACTTTCACTTTTTTACGACCGTGAGTGGACTCTCTGTCGGTTACAGTTACATACAGTTGCACCAGTACTAGTGTAAAACATATCGCATATCAGCTTTTGTTGTTGAGTCGATTTGTCTCCACCATAAAACATTTGTGCCGAAGTACACAGTCAGTGATGAATTCAAGCGGGACTTTTTTCCATAATGTAGTTTAAATCTGTTAGTTAAGTTTCAGCATGGAGAACTTTCTTTAGTATTTCTTGACACCATTTTTTCATCATATTTTTAATATTATATATCGACATTGTTGACATTAAAACAAAAAATCGAACTTCATCTTTCGCAAGTGTTATTTGTGCTTACGCTAGCACCCATCCCCCGAAATAAATAAACAAACAAATAAATACATAAAATTTATAAATCACTTCAATATTTTGAACTTAAATGATCTGGTATTGATATTGCGGAAATTGATATAAAAAATATGTTTATATTAAGATGTATCATAACCATAAGGCGTGTTCTTACTGTAAATTACATGAGGGAAATATCATTGAAGATAAAGTTTATGCTTTACTTATCTGTGAAGACAACACCCCTGTGAGAAATAAATACCCGAACAACCACACAAGTAGCCTACTGCACGCCACATCTTCACAAACTTACAAACATGATATTATTTACACTGTAAGATTGAATATAACATTTCAACAATGAGAAATTGTGATAGTTTTCTTGTTTGAGATAGATATTTGTCAGGCAAAGTAAACTTTTGTGTTATTGCCACTGGCCTTATAGTCCGTTTATCAATATCAACACGCCACAGTTTTCTCTATTTCTTTGAAGAACATATCCAAGTAGTAACTATGGGCGTCAGAAATACAGAAGTACCTCCTTTGAACAGAGTAAGTCGATGAGGTTAGGTTTTGTCTCTTCCTTGGTTCATGTGACTGTTCTGACATCCACGGGTTTACATTGGATCTATATATTTCTGAGCCCAGGGGATTCTGAGTAATATTTTGGGGGATACCAGGCTAGCTACCCGTAGCACTTTTCACTCGATTTCCAAGACATTTATCATTGCACGTGTTACAGAATAATTGACAAAAGCCACTCACTGACACTCTAAACCTTCAATTTAATGATTCGAAAAACTATCGTTTTGTACGTCCCACATGACTCAAGTTATTTGCCTCCATTCTGAAAACTTATGTGCGTTATGGCGCATAGAGTGACAGTACAAAGACTATACAGACTTCCTGGTACACAAAGCAATATGTTGCGTCCGGCAAGGCCTATCAATATTCAGGTTAACACTATAACTGAGGCATCGATCACCATGCCATGATCTGAATGTCACCAACATAAAGCAAGGGTGAGTGTTTGTCGGAGAGGCAGATAAGACCACACCAAGGTAAACATAACAACTCTTATTTCTCCCCAGTCATTCTCAAAATTAGAAACGTAAATCAAGTATTTGATTCGGGGGACCAGTCGGGATTGAAATCGAAAACCGATCTCTTTCTTTATATCTGTTGGGTTTTAAAAGGTGCGGCAAATGATTTAAAGAAAGTGGTCTTCTACTGCAAGAAATGTTTTCTAACTGAAAACCAAAAAAAACCCCAGCAATATTCCAGCAACTCCCATACTTTAACATAGACGTGCGACTTTCGTAGCGTTTCGATCGCTTCCGTAGCACAAGAAGCTGTCGATGATGCATATGTCGTGCATATACTCGTGCATATCATTTGTCTTCAATCACAATCACTGTAAGATGATTGTCAAATTAATGTGAATGTAAGTTTATTAAAGTTTTGTGGTAATTAATGCACATCAAGTGGAAAGCAGGTGTGTCACATCGCCGTACTCTTGTTGTTTTACCTTAAAGTATATAGACACTGATGATAAGAACATAATTTTAGATATAATGAACTGATCTTTATATGTTCATGAATATTTCCCTCCTTTTTCGTCATATGAACAGTTTCATCAACGTTATGCTGCATTAAATCACAACTCTTGCGGCTTAGATTATAAATGTGTTTTTATTTCATTTTTCACAACAAAATAAACATGTGTTGTTACATTGATTTTGAAAGAAACACGTTTGATCAGACCTTCATTATTATTCATGTACAACATATAAAAGAACTAACATATCGAGAAAAATAATTTATCCTTTAAAAATCAATACGGTTAAATATCGTTTAACTCGAACTACATTATGTATCTGTGCTTCGTTTAGGACGATGTAAACTTATGGCCCAGGTAGAATACATCTCTGCTTTTCCCGAAAAACGGAAACCTTGATAATTTCGGTATCGCCAGGAATTCGAGTTAGCGAGGCCACATCGTGACACATGTGCAATATGCTCAAGGTAATTCGAACCGTCACGAAGCTTGTCTAAGGCTTAGTCAGGCCTTTTGATAAGATTTAAAAAATACATCAAACTCAAGGTAACTCGAACCGTCACGAATCTTGTCGAAGGCTCAGTCAGGCCTATTGATAAGATTTAAAAAATACATCAAACTCAAAGTAACTCGAACCGTCACGAAGCTTGTCGAAGGCTAAGTCAGGCCTCTTGATAAGATTTAAAAAAATACACCTAACTCAAGGTAACTCGAACTGTCACGAAGCTTGTCGAAGGCTTAGCCAGGCCTATTGATAAGATTTAAAAAATACATAAAACTCAAGGTAATTCGAACCGTCACGAAGCTTGTCGAAGGCTTAGTCAGGCGTATTGATAAGATTTAAAAATACATGAAACTCAAGGTAATTCGAACCGTCACGAAGCTTGTCGAAGGCTTAGCCAGGCCTATTGATAAGATTTAAAAAATACATCAAACTCAAGGTAACTCGAGCCGTCACGAAGTTTGTCGAAGGCTTAGTCAGGCCTATTGATACGATTTAAAAAAGACATCAAACTCAAGGTAGTTCGAACAGTCACGAAGCTAGTCGAAGGCTTAGCCAGGCCTATTGATAAGATTTAAAAAAGACATCAAACTCAAGGTAACTCGAACCGTCACGAAGCTTGTTGAAGGCTCAGTCAGGCCTATTAATACGATTTATAAAAAACATCAAACTCAAGGTAACTCGAACCGTCACGAAGCTTGTTGAAGGCTCAGTCAGGCCTATTGATAAGATTTAAGAAAACACACCAAACTCAAGGTAACTCGAACCGTCACGAAGCTTGTCGAAGGCTTAGTCAGGCCTCTTGATAAGATTGAAGAAAATACACCAAACTCAAGGTAACTCGAACCGTCACGAAGCTTGTCGAAGGCTTAGCCAGCTGCAGGCCTATTGATAAGATTTAAAAAGACATCAAACTCAAGGTAATTCGAACCGTCACGAAGCTTGTCGAAGGCTTAGTCAGGCCTATTGATAAGATTTAAAAAATACATCAAACTCAAGGTTATTCGAACCGTCACGAAGCTTGTCGAAGGCTCAGTCAGGCCTATTGTTAAGATTTATAAAATACATCAAACTTAAGGTAACTCGAACCGTCACGAAGCTTGTCGCAGGCTCAGTCAGGCCTATTGATAAGATTTAAAAAAAGGGTGTCCACAACATAGCGCTCTTGAAGAGACGACCTTCTCTATGAGTCTTATCTTGCTTGTAAAAATGTAACCATATATATAGGAGGTATCAGCCAGGTGACCCTTTAGGAGAAATTTAGGTACGGTTCTCGTGGAACCAGCTGAATAAGGAAATAAAGGTGTTGCCGCAAGGCCCTCCACGTCCAGACAATACAGTGACATTTCGATCTTACCACAACTTAATTACACAGTCATACAAATACACAGACACAGACAGAAACACACAGACAGTCACATCCACACAGAGACACACACACACAGAGAGAGAGAGAGAGAGACACACACACACACACACACACACACACACACACACACACACACACACACACACACACACACACACACACACACACACACATACCCACGCACAGAGAAGAAGGTCAAGCTTCATCCATTTTTCATTTTCATATATCTCGACTTTCCATGTATCGTTTCGACATTGATCGTTTTGACAAGACACAACCTCCTGGTGAGACTGCATGCCCTCACTGAATGGTCCTCTAGATGGCCACAAGGAAAGTGTCATACATTTTGATGCCAACTGCCAAGCAGAAGCGGAAGCAATGCTATTTCCGTCGAACAGTTACAAAGGGTGCCACTACCAATCGATTTCCTGACTGGTTTCTGTATTTCACTATTAGTATATCACTTTGTAAACAAAAATATATGTGTTTTGTCAAAACATTAAAACAGGGTAACATTTCAAATGAGAATAAGGAGTGCCCAATTTTTTTTCATGTGCAAGGTTAATAACACCACTTCTATACAGATTACATTTTGTCTCGTCTCCACTGGATTATAGGGCGATAGCTCAGATGAGAGGGTTTTTGTCATACTGTAATTTGGAATAGAACTATAACAAGCACTCACTCCAGAAATTGTGCAAATGATTCAATAATTATGTAAAATACGTGCACTCGATATACATATGAATTGTATCCTGGATTGTTTTATCCGCATTTCTTATTCCTTTATGGCCGATCAGAGGAGCCCAGAATAATGAGGAGATAATGAATACTACAGGATACTACAAAGAAGTATTCATGGTACCCGAAAATGTAGTAATTACACATTTACACACTTTGATTAGTTCTGTCAGTGGCCCAGTGTGGACTTTATCACAAATATATTATATTGTCCATGTTCCTCACTGCCAGGAATTCCGTTTTCTTAGGTATTGGATACTACTTTACGTTTATGCTCTCAAGAACCATCAATATCGTAAATAAAGCATACTCAGTGAGATCCACAGCAGAGCAGTTCTGGATTAGAATAACTTCCGGATTTACAAATCATCGGAATTGAGACATATCCTTTTGAATATATGTACATGTTCCTTCCAGAATCGGGGTTCCCGGTTAAACGGGTTCCGGATTGACGAGGTTTCACTGTAGTAGAATCCTTGCAATGGACAGCCGATTAATTCCGGTACCTTGTAGCTTGTGATGCTTCGACTCGTCACCATATGGCTGAAATATTGCCGATGTGACGTTGAAAATAAACTTTCTCACTCTGTGATGTTTTGACGCCATTACAAAGACGTGCACGTCATTCTGAAGACACACAACAGGCAGGCAATCTGGAGAGCTACCGACATCATCAGTGAGGTCGCGCCGGCCTTTGGTCCATTGCAGAAGTCTGTTTGGCAGGTGGTGACACAGGTCATGTATCCACGAGTGTCGTAGGCACACGTGCTGAAGTTGTTGTGCTCAATGCCTTGCAACATGGACAAGTTTCCGAACGAGAACGTCTTCCCATCAGAGCAGTCCCGGATGTAGCTAAGAATGGCCGACGTCTCTGAAAAGATGGAGATAATGTTTTGACACCTGGAATCATCACTATTTGATTGGGGCGGTCGGGTAGCCTAGTGGTTAAAGCGTTCGCCCGTCACACCGAAGACCCGGGTTCGATTCCCGACATGGGTACAATGTGTGAAGCCCATTTCTGATGTCCCCCGCCGTGATATTGCTGGAATATTGCTAAAAGCGGCGTAAAGCCATACGCACTCACTCACTATTTGATTGTAATTCGAAACACATGCTTTTGAAACAGTCGGAATCTTACAACAGACTCTTCTTTCAGCAGAGATTTTCTATGCTTATGGAAGTGGTTTTGTCGCTTGTATGCACAAAATTTGACATATCAGGTTTAAAACAGGTACCCCTTATTGTGGTCAAACTATCTCATTTCATAAAACACACCAAAACGATGGTATTAAAACTATTAACTTGAGGTATAGGCGGGGAAATCGATGTTTTATGTCTGATTTTGGGACGTTTTTAGCCATATCCCAGCAATATCACGACGGGGGACACCAGGAATGGGCTTCACACATTGTACCCATGTGGGGAATCGAACCCGGGTCTTCGGCGTGACGAGCGAACGCTTTAACCACAAGGTTACCCGACCGCCCCACTCACTCACTCAGGTCCATTTCTCCTCGATTTCTATATTTGAGCGTATTACTGTCGATGTTTCGTCAACATTTGTAATCTTTTTTTTTAATTTTACGTAATTCATATTTTTGCACGACCGTGTACTCATTTATGTCGGGGTGTGAAGTAAAGGGGTCCAAAGATTCAACTATATTGCTGCCAGATACAATATTATGCAAAACACAACTGCAGATGTCCTGAGACGAGTAATGGTGATGAACGTAGAAACATGATAACTGCGAGCCGGGATCACCCACTGCCATAGGTGTCTGGATGACCGAGTCGCCCGTGTTCCCTGATGTTGATGTGGATGTGTTGTGAAGATCATGGCAACGACCAAGTACTCAACTTACGTGCATTCTCAGTAGTTTCGATCATACACACATTCCTAGAGTTGGAACAATTCTTGATGTAGGGCAGGGTCCTTCCCTCAGAGTCTGTATCTTTTACTTCTGAATTGGTGCTATTATTAAGCTGAAGGGCAATGTCTCTGGCCGATTTTACCATCGTCTTGGTATCCGTTTCACAGGATCCTCCTGAGCCTGTGTTTCCACATTGGTAGCAGTACAAGCAAGCTAAAATAGAAATGGTTTGACGTGTAATGCACATTATTCATTTGTCACTGACAAAAACGATGTATGATGCAATTTCCTATTTTGACTTGTGCCATTTGTTCAGGTTTGTTTATTTGTTTTGTTTAGCGCCGCACTCAGCAATATTACAGAAAATGACGGCGGTCTGAAAATAATCGAGCCTGGACCAGACAATCCAGTGATGGACATCATGAGCATTGATCCACGCAATTGGGATGCGATGACATGCATCAACCAAGTCAGCGAGTCTGACCACCCGATCCCGTTAGTCGCCTTTTACGACAAGCATAGTCGCCTTTTACGTCAAGCATGGGTTGCTGATGTTCACGGGTCACTTGTTCAGGTGAACAATTGCCTTGCCATAAGTTTGTTTGAGACGTGTGCCACCGATTGGTCCGCGAGCATTTAGAGTTATCTCTATTTGACATAGTCGGAATCGTTCAATCGACTTTGCTTTTATCAGATATTTCTAACGAAAATGAAAGGGTTTTGTTTAGAGTTGTGTGTGTTCCAAATGGATATTTTGAACATTCCCGAGACTGAAATTAATGAATGCATTTATATTATAAGTTGTCCACCGGTGTTTAAATTTATTTTTCATTGCCGGTATCTTGTGAGATCGAAACAAAGGAGAACCCAGAATTCAATAACATGCTTCTTACACCTGACACCAAATGCCATAACGTTGCGATTTATACGGGGATGGTCCTTTCATTCGGTTTAAAAACACACCTGCAACTTGCGATATGTCCGAAGTAATCTGTACACGAGTTGGCGCGCACTGCTAAATCACTGATGCCTTGAAACTCACACCACAAAAAATAAGCAGCACTTTGTAAATATCAGCTATGTAAGTTTATTTGTATTATATTATGATTTCCTTGTGATGAGCTCCTGTAAACTGTGAAGGATCTCACATCTTGCAAAACCGTAGACCTATCAACCGGGAAAAAGAAAAACTTCGGGTATTTTGTCGGCATAGACACATGTCAAACGCTGGCATCGTGCATCAAACACTATTGGGCAAACATTCTAGAAGATGTAATGACAGTGAATTCAAAATATTATTATTGCAATCTCATTGAAACCAGGTCTTCTACGCCGACACGATGCCTCCCTGCTTCAAGATCTGAGGATATATGTACCATAACGACGGAACATACTTCAACAAGTGTGAATGCTGTTGCGGACATTATTAATTTTACAAGCAGAATCAGAACAGATACATAAGGTCTGTTTGTAGTCTACAAGAACACTGTTGTTTCTGCCTGCAAATAGGGGGCACGGGTGGCCCAGTCGTTTCAGGCGCCGCGATTCGCTGTGCAGAAACCTATGATTGTGGGTTCGAATCCTGGTTCGCCACGATTATGTTTCTAGGTTTGTCAGCACCATACCCGTGTTCGTGAGTTTCATCGAAGTGGTAAACGTCTGAGACCTGCATCACTTCGGGCTTTTCTTCAATATTAAGCTGACACGCCGTGATATAACTGGAATACTGTTAAAAGCGGCGTTAAATCCAACTCTCTCACTCTGCCTGCGAATGACGTCAAGTCTTTGTTCCACATTATAAAAAATATCATCTACGTACATGATACTTACTTCTACGTAGAAGATACTTTCATCTACGAATATGATATAATGATCAACGGAGAAGAAGTATCATATACCAATGAAGTATCGACTTTACAATATTTTCTCTAGTAATCGACAATAGTTGCGGGTCAGTTTTGTTGATCCGATTTGTTTGACTTTTAGTCTTGACATGTCTTTATTGAGGTGCTATCTACGTAGATGATAAATTTAGAATGTTGCAGTTATACACTAAAAGGAATGGAATATCAATTCATGGGCAACGTGGCATCCACCTATGCATACGTTTTCTTTACTATGCCGTCTGTTGTCCGCCATTTTACATGTCGAAAGTTCCTAAGACAGGTCCGACCCTGTGTTAATTTTTGTCGTCAAGATAACAAAGACAGCTTCGAGATAAGGCCCAGATAGCTTTGTATTCGCTACGATACTTTTATAACAATTTTAGCGCTACAACAGCTTCGTGAATAGGACGCCTGAATGATCCCATTCTCTGTAAGTCGATTAATTATAACACATTGATTACTGACAGTCGCTGACCGGAAAGAGGGGTTTCCAGTCTAACGGGGTCAGGAATATAGGGATTTCACAAGAATACTATACGTTAGACAAGTTGATATAAGCAAATGTGATCACATTAAAGGTCATCTGTTCTCGAAATGATCACAAGAATTGGTATTGGAAGATCCCCAAGGGAGTATATTAACATTTAATCCGGACACCATTAATCCGACATCATGTATAAATAAATAACATTACCAGTTACAATTATTCGTTATCCCGGAGATTCGTTGCCCTTCCGTTGTCCACATTAACGGGGGTTCAGTGTAAACTAATGCAAATATATACATCGTCGATGCCAAAAAATAAACAGTTTTGATCATCCTCCGAAACAGATTCCACTGAGCGTAAAAGACAAAATAGAGGTGAAAATGATATGAATTGATCCCTGGAAACCAGTGATGACACCAGGTGTTCGCGAGAAGGGTAAACATGTCCTACCCTACCGGTAACTGAACCCTTACTTGGCAGACATAAAGTGAGACGACCGATTATTGACAATGTTACGTCATGTCAATCGCCGAATGCTTTTCCCACAGTCGATCAAACATGACAAGAAATCTTTTGAAAATATATACTGATAAGTATACAGAATACCGGATCTTTCCTCCACATTCCTTAGTAACAGTTTCTAAGTGTGTTTCAGTTGCCATTTTTATCCGCCTCGCATAAGTAACATGGGTATCGCAAGGAAATGTCATTTTTAGTTTCAAAGTCAATAGAAAATCAAAGTTTACGTTTTTGTTGTGTTGCCGATACATGTCACTGAGAAGGTTGCATTATGTCATCATAGAACTTCTATTTATTTATTTTTTATGTCCAATTTTCGATGTTGACGAATTGCCTTGAGGTTTAATTTCGGGGTTAAATCATATTCAACGATACAAATACAAGCGGGGTATCTTCCTGCTTATTTTGAGCTTTGTCGCCCAATTTAAAAAATAGTCTCGTGCTGCTGTAAGAATGACATCAAACAAACATGGCGTATGGGTATCCGGTATTCTCTACATGTACCTATATACTTAGTTATAACCCCGCCTTGTTATTATCCAATTATTTTTCAATATAACACTGACCTAGAAACTATTTCGTTAAAATGAAATAACTTGATAAAGTTACCTGCAACTGGCAACAGAAATAGCAGGATGAAATAGGACACATGAGATCTCCTTGTAGCCCCCATAGCACAGAGTGTGGCGAACACCCTTTTTCCAGCTGATTGTGAGGTAGTGTTAGTACTGTTTTATGCCCGCTGATAACATTTGTCTAACCCAGACATGTGGGGATTTACAGTGTGGTTGTTGTCGACGTCTAAGAGATAGGCTTCAGTGGTAGCGTGCACTGAGTGGTGGCCTTATTTCTTTATCAGCAGGTGCTGTCATACAATAATTTATTCGCTCACCTCACAAGAAGGAAGAACCGATTGATACATGTAGTCACTGGTTTAAAATTTCAACTTTGTTCCAATTATATCAGGATTTGTTTTGACGTCACTGTGAAATGTTTTTTTATGATTATATTACACACCGTGACGTCAAAACAGAAATGTATGGCTTGAGGTGTTATTTACATAAAATCAATATTACCTGCTTGCATATCACCTTTGCCGAAGTAACCCAATGCCATTGGTAGTGATATTCTGTATTGGTCCTTATTCGTATTATTCGAGATAGTGCCCTGCTTTTAATGTCTGAGTTTGATTATTTCGTTCCACATAAAATGACAAGCAGATTAGAGGCCAAAACACAGTAATTACAAACAAAACTGGAAACAAAAATGAATAAAAAGTTATTTTTAGTGTACAAATCATGAATATCTGTTAAAAACATTGACCATATATTACGCGAACACCATTATCTCTATTTGATAGTGATTCATAAACACATGCTTATGATATAGTCGGAATTGTACAGTGGACTCAGAGATGACTTTGGAAGGGATTGTGTCGCCTTTTCTGTTTATTTAGGGGCCGACCATTTGATATTCTGGAGGAGAAATGACATTGTTTCAATGTGGATTTAAAAAGAATATATTTTCTCTCATATTTTTTATTAAGAAAATATCTGTAACTGCAAAAATATCGGGTCTGAATGCAACATTCTTCTTTGGTTCACTGTACTCTCAAGGGAATCGCCACCTCCAATTACAGTTTCCTATCACAGTCATGCTACGTGTGTATGACCCATTATCGACTCGATAATTCGAAAAAGTCAATACGACCTAAATCAATATGCGCAGAAATAGACGGGCACTTGCGAACATAAAAAAACCATATGACGTTATCTCATTTGCGATATCGTCTACACACGAGCCGGCGAAAGGTCAACCGGAGAAGGAAGTGCACTGGTTAACTTCGCTACAGTGTAGAGCTCTTCTGTGAACATGGCTTGCTTATCTTTATGGCAGTTCCATTGTCCGAACTGACATGATTTAACATGTACATACTTATATAGTGTTATAAGATTTTGTATATGTACAGAGATGGGGGTCTTCCTTACAACGGGGCTCGAGATATTTTGGGTTGATGACGTTGTATATCAGTTTGGAGACGACCATTGTCAACAGGTTAACATCATTCTTAAATTTAGGTGAAAGTGATTGAGCATTATACAAGTACCTTACTGCTATCTTACACTTGTAAAACAGGTGGATCAGGTGTGCGGAAATCTGGTTACCGAGTCTTTATCTCTTCAGTCGGGGCGGTCGGGTAGCCTAGTGGTTAAAACGTTAGCTCGTCACGCCGAAGACCCGGTTCGATTCCCGACATGGGTACAATGTGTGAAGCCGTGATATTGCTGGAATATTGCTAAAAGCGGCGTAAAACCATACTCACTCACTAACTCTCCTCAGCCATTCTAGTTTCGTGTGTGTGTATGTGTGTGTGTGTGTGTGTGTGTGAGAGAGAGAGAGAGAGAGAGAGAGAGAGAGAGAGAGAGAGAGAGAGAGAGAGAGAGAGAGAGAGAGAGAGAGAGAGAGAGAGAGACCGGATCTTCGGCGTGGCGAACGAACACTTTAACCATAAGGCTACCCGACCGCCCCTAGGATCGATTGAAAGTAGGTATCAGTCAATTGCGATCTCGCAGATTATGTCTACAATCTACATTACTTCACCAACATTAAGCTGGTACAACCGCGATATAACAGAAATAGTGTTCAAAGCGGCGTCAGACCCTACTCTCTCACTTACTCTGATGAAGTAGGCATGACGTGATGTGGATGTTGCATGACTTGTTGATGATGAGGGAAGAGAATTTATGGATGTGAGCATATATATATAATATAGTCCTGATTTCCACTTGTCCATAACTATCAGCGCTAATTCACTGTAAAGTTTTGGCTTTCATTGTCTATTGCTCGCGCTAATCGCCTTTCTCTGCCTTATATCATTCATTCAACTGATGAAGGAGTAAGCATATACTCCGAAGCGTTGTTCCTCATAGAAAGTTGAAGTCCATAAACTCTCTTTAAACTCTGTGACGTTATCTCATTTGCGATATCGTCTACACACGAGCCGGCGAAAGGTCAACCGGAGAAGGAAGTGCACTGGTTAACTTCGCTACAGTGTAGAGCTCTTCTGTGAACATGGCTTGCTTATCTTTATGGCGGTTCCATTGTCCGAACTGACATGATTTAACATGTACATACTTATATAGTATTATAGGATTTTGTATATGTACGTTTTGTGGAAATATATGACTACTTTTTGTATTAAATCGGTCACGTGAGTAAAAAAATAGAGCATGTTTTATTAATTTTACGGAACTACAAAAAATAGTAAAAAGTTTTGAATATGTTTAAATGTTTTAATCACCGTTGGCACCCGTAACAGACACATGCAAGGACAAGTCACTTGTTCACTTAAAAACTAACCCTGGGGAAAATATGGTACAAAAATGTCAAAATAGGGAAATCGAGTCTCGACCAGACAATCCAGTGATTGCTCTTATGAGCATCGATCCACACAACCAAGTCAGCGAGCCTGACCACCCGATTAGTCGCTTCATACGACAAGCATAGTCGCTTCTTACGGCGAACATTGGGTTGCTGAAGACCTATTCAACTCCGGATCTTCACGGATCTGTTTGAATGAGTGACAGCGACCCGACAGCGAATCAATGTTCACGTCATCATCCACTGGTTTGACTCTTCCAGACTTGATATCATTCTTGACGGCTGTGTAAAACAACAATTACGTGTACTAATAAATTTGACATTGGTTCGGCCACATTAAAAGAGGATACAAATGTGTCAGTATGTCAAAATGTGGTCATTAACAATAGCTTTCTCTCCTGTCAGCCTTGTGATACACAGGATTTGAAAAAATCACAACATGACAACCATGCCTAGAAATATCTTCAAGTGGTGCATACATGTAGCCTTGCTAACTTGTTGAACATTTCTGAACGAGTCATAATGTCATAAGCTAAACAGATGACATTTATGATGCTCCCCAGACTGTTGACCAGGGTATTGTCTAGAACGCCACAGAGATGGGGGTCTTCCTTACAACGGGGCTCGAGATATTTTGGGTTGATGATGTTGTATATCAGTTTGGAGACGGCCATTGCCAACAGGTTAACATCATTCTTAAATTTAGGTGAAAGTGATTGAGCATTATACAAGTACCTTACTGCTATCTTACACTTGTAAAACAAGTAGATCGGGTGTGCGGAAATCTGGTTATCAAGTCTTTATCTCTTCAGTCGGGGCGGTCGGGTAGCCTAGTGGTTAAAACGTTAGCTCGTCACGCCGAAGACCCGGTTCGATTCCCGACATGGGTACAATGTGTGAAGCCGTGATATTGCTGGAATATTGCTAAAAGCGGCGTAAAACCATACTCACTCACTAACTCTCCTCAGCCATTCTAGTTTCGTGTGTGTGTATGTGTGTATGTGTGTGTGTGTGTGTGTGTGAGAGAGAGAGAGAGAGAGAGAGAGAGAGAGAGAGAGAGAGAGAGAGAGAGAGAGAGAGACCGGATCTTCGGCGTGGCGAACGAACACTTTAACCATGAGGCTACCCGACCGCCCCTAGGATCGATTGAAAGTAGGTATCAGTCAATTGCGATCTCGCAGATTATGTCTGCAATCTACATTACTTCACCAACATTAAGCTGGTACACCGCGATATAACAGAAATAGTGTTCAAAGCGGCGTCAGACCCTACTCTCTCACTTACTCTGATGAAGTAGGCATGACGTGATGTGGATATTGCATGACTTGTTGATGATGAGGGAAGAGAATTTATGGATGTGAGCATATATATATAATATAGTCCTGATTTCCACTTGTCCATAACTATCAGCGCTAATTCACTGTAAAGTCCATAAACTCTCTTCCTTATTTATATCACTTCTAAATGCCTTTCAAAGACTTGCTGACGATTCTTCCACAATATGTGTGTAATTAATTTAGAAATATATATTTTAATACCGCTTCTTTGAATGAGTTAGAAGCGCCATAAAATGACAAAATGAACCTGAACGAAATCAGCCACATGAGATCTTTACCAGTGTCCTTTTTCATCAATAATTTGTTGTGGTTTGAGGACAAGTACATCGCGATCTCGACCTGGGTTTTCAATTTTGATTTTACTACTTCAAAAGTCGAGAACGTGAGAAAAACTTTAATATCATGTAAAATATCACAATCTCTATAAAAGTCATAAAAGATGCGAAATGGCGAAAGTTATGTAATTCCACGGGTTCAGGTCATAAATTTCCGTGTGTGATATGCGGGTTAGGCGTATGCTCAGTTCTAATCCAACACTCTGAGTCGCAGCTTTGCATTGTGTTTTATAAAGATGGTACCGTGATGGCATCGAGCCAGCAAGCTTAGACATCCATTTCAAGCTCTGATGAATCAAGAATTTAAGAAATGACCGAAAAAATATGTTCATCAAAATATAAAATTTACAAACTTAACAATTACTCCATAGAAAGCACATAAAAACTTACTTAAATTACTGCATATATAACAATTTATACCAGAATAGAGAAAAGGTCTTCAATGGGTTTGAATCCCGGTTCGTCCCGATATTTCTAGCTTTGTCAGCACCACAACAGTGTGCTTCACCAAAGTGGCAAACGTCCGAGACCTACATCACTTCGGGCTGTCCTCCCATATTAAGCTGACACGCCGTGATATAACTGAAATGGTATTAAAAGCGGCGTTAAACCAGACTCAATCAGTCTTACCGATCTGAAATTCAAGCCCCGTACATCTAAGCGCATCGTGTAATTTATATTAACATTGACTTCAGATGTTTGCGATGTACAGAGCCTTAACTTAACACAGATTGTCGTCAGGCAATGTGGCGACAACCAACGCTTCGT